AGAAGGTGAAATATATAACATGTTAAAGAAGATGAAAATAAATAGGCGGAAAAAATGAAACATAAAAATGCATAAAAGAATGGTTGAAATAAGATATTTTACGATGAGGTTTCAACTGGATGAAAAATCTTCGAAGCTCTATTCTTTGCCGCACAAAATATTTTCATGAAATCGGATTGACACATTATGAAACCGGCAATATTGCATTCGCAGTTAAAAATCTTCATGCAGTTGCAACCCACGGGGTAGAGGCTGCAAATGGTATATGTCACAAGATTAATGTTTTATGCACTTATATGAATACTCACACCCGGTACCGGTTCCTGAAGCATCATCACTAGAAAACGTCACGATTTAGTCTGTAGAATGATGCGAGTGTACCAATATACAGCAGGTGCTAAAGTAATATGTCTAGCCTAAGTGATTGGTTCGCTACAATCCTGGTTAAGTCCATAAAACCTGGTTTGATGTGTGTCTACTAACTGTACTGTAAAATATGTTTCATACAATAATGCTTAATCTTAAACGGACCAACCTAATGGCAACACGCGTCACAATAGTTGGTTGCCAAAAAACAGCCCTAGAAAATGTGAGATGAAGTATTAAGGTCATGCATAACTGAAAAATCAGCTGTTAAAAGGGTTTATTTATTAACAACAGCTAAACAAGATGGCCTGTCAGGTAATCGTTTAAGAGACCAGATGTATTTCAAATCAACAATGAGCTATGACGCTAGCAGTGTTAAACCATAAAATCTTATGAACGGTTTTACTTACTTTATACGGATAACTATGGCCGCTTTTCGCTTCGACGCATAACATAATATCTTCGACATACTCAGGAGAATGCTTGCATCGCGAGTTGCTCACTACTTGTACTTCTGCATAACGAGGAACATCGGTGTCTACGTCTAAATGTTAAACAAGTATATTGAACCTTCCATACAGCAGCTACAGTCTCCTGGATTTACCTTCCATCACTTGTCCAAGGCCTACTGCATAGCAATACTGTCCCGGTTGAGCACGTCCTTGAGGCATGCACAGAGGTCGCACAGACGGAGTATAATGCAGGTCGTGGTTGAGTTTCAGTATGGTTACGTCGTAGCTATCGGGGTGATGGTTAAACTGTGGATGCAGAATTAAGT